TGCACATTCCTCTTTGGCCAAACTAGCTCCTTTTTATTTGTAGGCTTTTTTTCTTCTGTGTTTGCCTTTTCTCCCCCATCCCATCCTTTCAGCCTATCTCAAATGTAAGTCCAGGTATTCCCAGCAGTAAGTAATCTCTCCATCAGCCTCAGCTGAGAGTCAGCCTGCTGCTTATTTTTATAAATAAAGTTTTATTGGAACACAGGCACATCATTAGTTTACATATTGTCTGTGGTGGCTTTAGGAATACAATGACAGAGTTGACTAGTGACAGAAACTATGTGGCCCAGAAAGCCAAAAATATTAACTGTCCCTTTACAGAAAAACTTTGCCAACCCCTGATCTAATCAATCCATTGGGTGGATTCTAGCCTTACTCTGAGGTGATCTCACTTGTAACACCTGCAGGATTCTAACTGGTTAACTCCTGTCATCCAGAGCAGGATACCAATTAGGAGAAAAGTAGTTTGGGTTGCAGTTCGAGGCCTCCTTATGGAAGGAACTGGGACATCTGGGATCACCAGTCCTGGCAGTAAGAAAGATTGGATGATATTGACTCTTGAAACATTGACTAAAAGCTTAGTTCAGTGAAATCGATCCCACTCTCATTACATTTGCAGGAAGATGTGGGGATAATTATAATTACTGTCTAAGAAAGAATTGAGAGGTTAGGAAACTATATTGATCTCTGAGTAACCATGCATGAAACAAATACACAACATAAAAGATAAGCAAAGTCACCTTTGAGATAAATTGATTACTGGCTCTGTCCTACTGTCCTCAGGCTGAGGGTGTCAGTAAATCCAATGAAAGTATGTGCCTTCCAGGAGAGGGAGAATGTTGTTATGTCAGCATGCCCAGGGTCTGAAAAGAGACATTTTGTGGTGTTTATCACCTTCTGACCACTTTAATATTTACCTGTGTGTTTCATTATCATCTGTCGCTATCGGCCAGAATGTAACTCCATGAGGGTAGGGCCTTTGTTTTGATTATTGTATTCAGAGAGTCTCGGTCAGTGTCCAGCACAAAATAGGTGTTCATTAAATATTTGAGAAAATAATAAATGATACATTGTTGGCAATACTTCATCAACACATTGGAGCAGAGGCTGTTGTGACCAAGGGTAAGTAAGATATCTGTTGTTCTTAGTAGGTATATTCCTATTGCAGAAATAGACATCTTTTACTTCAGATATTTTTTATGCTTGCTACTCCTTTGACCACTTTTTCATACTGCAGATTGTGGTCCATTAGTGAGTCATAAAATCAATTTAGTGGGTGAGACCAGCTTTTTTTTAAAAAAATGGAATAGAAAAGGTAATTTCAGCGAATTGGAATAATGTATTATTTTGTGAAACTTTCCAGAAAAAGTATTTCAGGGTAAGTATATTTCATAAAACTTTTCAGTTATATCTGTATGTGTTGGGCTTGATAGAATTTTTTTAATAAAGTATTTTTTAGTGTAGGTTGGGGTCAGAAAACTTTAAAAGCTGTTCTGAAACAAAACATTTAATTCAGTTAGAAGTAATAGTCGTTGACATGCAGAGACCTGGGAAGAGAGTTAAGTTGTTGGTATGAATGGATTTCTAAGGGTAAATGGATTGTGGGGGACAATTTCCTGATTTTATAGTGATAGAGCTTAGGAGACAGCAAGAGATCCTGGCTATCTGCAAAGTTTGATTGTGAGTGAGAAAAGACAGTGAAAGAGGAGGCTGTCAGCCACCAAGGTAGCTGGATCCCATTTCAGCCTGCGTTTCACAGGTGAGCCTGCCTGAGTGTGTGAAACCATTGATTAATTAAATACTTTGACCCTCCAGAGGCCAAGGGAGTTAAAGAATATAAGCCCAGCTGATGCAGAGGCTCATGCCTGTAATCCCAGCTGCTCTGGAGGCTGAGGCAGGAGGATCATTTGAGTTCAAGGCCAGCCTGGGAAACATAGCGAGACAGCATCTCTAAAAAAAATACAATCTCAGTCTTCTGCCTAATGTCACATTATTAAGGTATCAGCAGGGCTGACTTATCCATTAGGTCCAGGAGGCACAATGACAAAGGCCTGTGATGCTTTCAGGGGTCCACACAGACGTTTTAGTTTCTTTTAAAAACAGAAAAAATATAGAATCTAGCCTCAATTACATTCATGTTCATATCAATGCAGTTGCAAATTATGCTTTTTAATATTTTTTATGCAGTGGTGCCCACCAAGGCAAAAGTGCCTGGGGCCCATGAAAGTCCTAGTACAGTTCTGAGTGTCAGGGATATCAGAATAATTTGAGGTGCTTGCTGAAAATGCAGATATCTGGGCACCACTCCTTTGGGATGGGGTCAGAACCGCAATTTCAGCAAATACCTCAGGTGATCCAAATACGAAAAAAATTTCAGAATCTCTGGCCCCAAAGTAAACCCAAGATCTACCACAGATACAAAGTAGCAGGGACTACTTGCTGGGGTCAATTTGCCCTTAGATTTACTAAACTATACCTGTACTGTGCCCCTTCCTATAATTTGCAACCAAATATTAATTCTGTGAGGATCCCTTCATGCTGTAATGTTTAGCTATAGTGTTATTTTTAATCAGCAGTGGCCTGTGTTTATCATTAAGCTCCCCTTTATTTGCCCTTTAGGGTAAAAATGTTTGCCAGCAAATGACAATTTTCAAGTATTTTATTCAAAAGGAGGAAAATGACATATTTGACATACTCAAATTGAGGATAACTACAACATTTACTGAAAGGATCCTTATTCTTCAGTGCAGTACACCCTGACATTCAGCCTTGCCCTGAGTTAACCAAATCACTGGAGAACAAAAGCAAATGAAAGCACGTCTCTTTTTTAATTCCAGTTTCTTACATTCATTGTCAATGCTGAGTTAGGAAGCCAGTAGCTAGGAAGGCACTCCTAAGCAATGAGGAGTCTTTGCAAATCCACTTGAAAAAACAAACTTGAGGAAACATGCCCAGAGTGCAGGAAGCTTCCCTGGAGGAAAAAATCTGAGACCTCTGTGTTAATGAAGCAGCAAGGAGGTGGGGGGGGCCTCAACCTCCACTTCAAGCACTGGTGTTCCCAGTGGCAAGGAGGGCAGGTGCCTTTATCCTCCCAGCGACCCCTAGCGTCCGACTGTGCCATCTGCATGGACTCTGCATCAGCATCAGCTCTGGCCTCTTGGGCTACAGAGCTTCAAATTAAGAGACCATTGTGGAAACCAACGCCAGAAGGAAAAAAAAAAAAACAACAAGAAAAGATGGGGATACTTCACAGATTGTCTGAGATGTTCCTGAGTCAATGACATTAATCTAGAGGCCATAGTCTGTAGTGGGAAGAGCAAAGGGTTTGACATCACAGGGACCAAGATTCAGTTGGTGGCTCCAAGGGTTCCTGCCTAGGTGGCCTCAGGCAAGGAAGCTTCTACACTCCGAGCATGTTTCCTCAAGTTTAAAATGTGGATATAATTCTTATATCACAGGGTTGTTTCGGGAACAAAATAAGTAATGTATGTGAAAGCACCTATTATACTACCTGGTACAGTCAATCAGTACTCATTAAATGATGTGTGAATCTGAAATTTGCCTGAGTAAATTAAAAAAAATTTTTTTTCTTTTACCATCCAATAGATACTGGATTAGCAAATTAACAATATGACTGTTTAATTCCTGTGGTTTATTTATACACAAGCCCTTAAAATGATCAAAAGCTGAGCTGCCAAGGAAAATACGCTGTTTAATAATCTTAGAGTTCATTTAATCTCAGCACAGTAGAGGGGTTTCACACTGAAGATGTAGCAGGCATTATCCTATTGTTTTCACTGGGCAGAACAAAGACCAATTAGCAGAAGTTATAAGAAGGCAGACTTTGGTTCAGTATTACCAAGGACCTTCTTGCAACTGGAGCCAGGGCTGCTGTGCTGCACAACTCCATGGGACAACATTAACCCAGGCCACAGCTAAGTAACAGCGCCTGGAGTGTGCAGGGCACAAGTGCACTGCATTCCCAGACACCTGGCCGGAGCTGTCCCACATGTCATGGGCTGGTTTGTGAAGAAGGAAGTTCCCTGTCATGGAATCTGTTCAATCTGAGGCAAAATGACAATAAGTCAAGGATGGTTCCTACTCTGGATAGGAGTTTGTCTAGGCTTATTCATTCTTGATTCGTTTATGAAAAATTTATGGAGCATCCATTGAACATCAGGCACAGACCTCAGCCCAAGGAGAAAATGTGAATAAGATACCATCCCTGTCCCGCAGGGAGGACAGCAGCCCTGCCCACTCAGTAATACTGTGCTCCCCACAGCACTACAGCATCCTGATGTCATACCAGCTGTGTCCTCCAGTGGCACCTACAATGCATGGCAATGCCTCTGTCTACAAGATTGCTATTCTCTCCTTTCTGAAAATATAAACCTATTGTTTCCCCACAGAAATCATGTCCACAGTTGTGGACAAACAGTTGTAACTACATCATCTGATTTAAATCTCACATTATTTGCTGTCAAGATAGGTTCATTTCCATTACAAAAGAGAACCTGAAGAAAGTCTGATTTCAGTGACGAAGGATCCTTTAGTCTTAGAAAAAGTTGTTAAGAAAGGGGAAAAAAAGAAAGCTAAAACAACTAGACATGTATAGATGAATAATGGTTTGGGGGAAGGATACCAATATGTTATTGTCTAAAAGTAATGAGGTACTCTGGGTATGCTTGGTAGTCATAAAATACTACAAATAAAGTTGGATTTTGCACATTATCTGTGACAGTGTCATAGAGGTCCGTTGGATTTTGGGGGTTCTTTGAAGGAGGCACAATTAGTGACTGATATCCACATGTATAGACTCCAGTAAGTACTCGCACATAATACATATGCTTTTTCCCATTTCCATCTGGTCTGGAGTATGTATCATTGGCAGAATAACTGGCATTGACAGCAAAATAGGTTCCCTTTCCAAATGCCGTAGCTGTGGAAAGATAAACAAACCATGTTTAAGAATTTCAACTTAGTGTATAATTTGACATGTTGGCCCAATATGTCAGATGTTAAATTAATGTTCAGTTCTTTTCTCTAAAGCCTCTTTTAAAATTTTTGGTGTGTGCTTTCCATTTTTAATTATCAATTTTTCCACCTGACAGGGCCAGTCAGTCCCCTTTGGGATGAAATACAATGAATCCTAACCTGAAACTTGGGCTGCAACATGGCCACGAACTATGGGGGAACACAACGAACCCACATGGTCACCAGCCAACTTGGGTTCTCATGGCTGATGCCTCATTCAGAGCAGCCAGATTACTCACTTCCTTACCATTCTTCCCAGCATAGCTGCGGTTAAAGCCGTTGCTATTGACATGTGGCACTGAGCCCACATCTGTCCCATGGAAGAGTTGCTTCTCATTTGCTGTGTGGCCGTTCTTTGCATCCATGGTTTTTTTCTTTGCCTGGTAGCTATTCCAGAGATCTGGATTCTGGATCCTTTCAATCTACAAATTAAAGAAAAATATTTGTCAGTGCCAAGAGCACTTGCCAAGATACATACAGCAAATGAAGCGTGATCACTGTGTTTCATAAATAAAAAGTACACTAAACAGCAAATTCAATGCCAGATGGCATCTTTCTACATTCAGAATCTTTTTAGTTACAGTGCCTCATGAACACAGGCAATGGGAAGAATGTTGGTTTAATTTTTAACATATTTTATGTACCACATGAGAGCAAACAATGTTTAGGATCTTAAGTACTTGTCATATGAATTCTGCTGACCCAGCCTCTGCAACTCCTGCTTTTTACATGCATTCTAATAACTGCTACCTCCCTTTGTCACTTTGTCTCTCACTGCCTCAGTCCTTCTAAGATACTGGTTGACCTAGCCATATTCTAAAAGTGGGAGAAGCACCATAGTGTCTAGGCAAGAAGGAGATTAATTAATGAAAATTAATCTCTGGTCCAGTTGGAAGAGTAGGGCATGAATCCTGAGGGGAAAGGCCATGCTTTGACAATACTCTTTGAGCGGTGCTCTCCAGGGCTGTGGTGGAATATGCCTGGGTCCTGGGTTGCAGATCAGCTTTTAAAGTCACCTAATCTCCAAGTAGTGACAGTTTCATAAAGCTGTCCTGGGAGGAGTGATGGGTGGGTAAATGTGGCTAGGGACCCTTATGGAAAGGCACAAGGTAAAGGTTCCATGTTGTTAGGATCTTTTTCCATTCTAGAGAACTCTCAGGCCTAATACCTGCATTCATCTGGTTATTGTTTTTTCTCTCTCTCTAGTTTTGGGTTTTCTATTTTTAATTAAGACATAATTTGTCCTCCAATTCAAAGTCTCAGCATTATCAAATATTTTATTGATCCGATTTATGATTTTAAAATTATTTTCCCTTTTTGTTCTTTACCTACAGCTAAGTTTCTAATCTTTAAAATGCTTATGTTCATTTTGTTTCCAGTTACCTTAAATTTTGTTTATTTTACCCATTTTTAAAGCCTTCAAAATTTTTCTTAGAGTTTCGAGATAATCCTCAATTTCTCAGTCTTTCAATTCTTAAATTTAAAAAAGTTTGTTTTTTTACCCTTTTAAAATTTAATAACCACACAGAAAAGAATTATTTCAAGTAATTTATGAATACAGTAATCTGATTCTATTAATATATTTCCTATGGGATAAGTTCTAAGGTCAAAAACATTGCAAATAAATCTTGAACTTTATTTACTAGGTTTATTGTTAGCAGCAGGTTTCTGGCTAGCGTAGATTACTTGTATCAGACCAACCTCTCACTGACAACTACTAGAAGAGCTAGAGGAGAAAAAAAGTCTATTTGAAGGCAACAAGGATTTGATGAGCTAAGATTCCAGAGAGAAGGGAAATATAGTGAAGCAGTAAAGTCAGAAGAAAATGGAATAACTTCTTCAAAGCACTTAAAGAAAATAACTGCCAATCCAGAATTCCATGCCCAGGAAAAATACCCTTCAAAGAATAAAAATTAAATAAAGACATTTTCGGACAAAAACTAAGAGAATTCTTCACTATCATATCTACATTAAAAGAAATACTAAATCCAGATGAAAAATGATCCCAGATGGAAGCATGGAAATACAGGAAGGACTGAAGAACAGTGGGAGGAAAGGGTAAATATGTTGGTAAATATAAATAAATACTATAGAAACAAATTAAAATGTTTTCTAGGATTTCAAATATACATAGAATTAAAATACATGTTAAAAGTAGCACAATAGGCAGGAGAGGGATAAATGAGACTTAAATTATTCAAAAGTTATTGTATTGTCTGGGAAATGATAAACTAATTTACATTAGTCAAGGATGCATGTTGTAATCTATGCGGTAAACAATGAAAGAATTGTAATAGAATGTATAACCAACATTCTATTAAGAGGTGAAAATGGAATAATAGAAATATTTAATACAAAAGGCAGAAAAAGAGAAAGAACAAAGAATAGATATGATAAATAGGAAACAAAAATGAATGCAGTATATTTAGACCCCAACACATCAGTAAATACAGTAAACAGATTAAATACTTCAGTTAAAAATAAATACCATCAGGCAGGATGAAGAAAAACAATACTCAAATATATGCTGCTACCAAGAAACACATCTTACATAACAGTTATTAAAAGGTTAAAAGAAAGAGAATGGAAAAAGATATACTGTAATATGCTAATAACCAAAAGAAAGCTTGCATAACTTTTAATATTGCTACTAATAATTTTGGTATCATAACTTTGACACAATTTTATGTAGACTACAAGATAAAACAAATAAGTAAATATGTGCCGTTATTAGAAATCAAAATTTCTATTGTACAGGAAATGATACATAAATATAAGATATTAAGAAAAAATCTACAATATTAAATTTTAATTGAAAACATGAATATGAGTTCATAATTTTCTTAGCTCTAGCCACAAAAGATGCTGGAAACAACAACACCTCACTAGCCGTGGGCACACTCAGCACACAACTCTTGGTTTCTCACTACCATTCTCCACTAAAACGCTTCTTTGAGAAATGTCTGATTCCAGACATGGGACAAGGAAAGTACAAGGGGGAGCATGAGAAATCTTGTGACACAAAGTGAAGAAATACCAAAGATTAACTGAGTCATCGAAATTCCTGGGAGCCAACTTCCTGCCAGCCAAATGGAGGATAATTTGTGCATCTAATGGAATAATAACCGCAATTAAATATAACATACTGAATTCTTTAAAAAGCATGCGGGAAGAAAATTTATGCCTTACAAAAATGCCAAATTCTATATAATATATATATATAGAATTAGAAAATCACCATCCTGCAACCTCAAGTGTAATAATGGATTCAGGCAAGGACCATCAATGGATGTTAAAATCAATCAGTAGAAGGTCGTTGGGGAACAGGATACCCATACAGTGATAATGAATCATCTCACAGATTACCTACTGATTCCAATGGAGAGAGATGGTGGTTACCACCTTAACTAGTGGTTAAACTTAGCATCCTTAATAGAAGGACAAACTTACCCTACGGAACTCCTGATGTGATGTGTTACCTATGATGTATTCTTGCAAAAAATATTTATCTGAATTTACCCAAATCTTTCAACCTAACTCCCAATTTACCAGAAACAAAAAGAATAGAGAAATAAAGTAAATGACACTATGAAGAATCAGACAAGTCTATAATCTGTAAGAAAACTGATATGGCTTCTTCCCCCCAAATCAAGGAATAACAGATCCAGCACGTGGGACATTCTACAACACAATTGGTTTAAACTCTTAAAAAAAATTCGATGTCATGAAAAATAATTTTTTTTTTCTTTTTGAGACAGAGTCTCACTGTGTTGCCCAGGCTAGAGTGCCGTGTCATCATCCTAGCTCACAGCAACCTCAAACTCCCGGGCTCAAGCGATCCTCTTGCCTCAGCCTCCCGAGTAGCTGGGGCTACAGGCATGCGCCACCATGCCCAGCTAGTTTTTTCTATATATTTTTAGTTGTCCAATTAATTTCTTTCTATTTTTAGTAGAGTGGGGGTCTGGCTTTTGCTCAGGCTGGTTTCGAGCTCCTGAGCTCAAACAATCCGCCCGCCTCGGCCTCCCAGAGAGCTAGGATTACAGGCGTGAACCACCGTGCCTGGCCTGAAAAATAATTTTTAAAAATGCAGCAGTACTATTCCATATTAGAAGAGACAAAAGAGACATAATGATCAAATACAGTGTGTGAACTCAGATTGGGGATAAGGGAAGTTATAAGAAAGATTTATTTTTTAAGCAACTGGGAAAATTTGAATATGGACTCTATATTGGATATTATTGAATTAATGTTAATTTTCTTACACGGGCTAATGGCAGAGAATGTCTTTATTCTTAGGAGATATGTGCTAAAATATTTAGGAGTATCATGATGTTTGCAACTTATTTTCAAACGCTTCAGCAAAAACTGAGATAGAGGAAGAGAAAGTAAATGTGGCAAATTTGTTGCATCTAAGTGAAAGGTTTATAGACGTTAAAAATCTTAATCATAATAGTCATGGAGGATGACAAGCCACCCATTTTTCATGTTGGTGTTTTCATAATTCTAGGAATCTTTGCTTTTATCTGGTTCACACACTGGGATTTCACATAAGATTTTATTGGGAAACAAGGGTTCCACTGCAAAAGAGTGTTGAAATCGTTTCCCTAGCTATGGTCTGCCAACACATAGCTGGTGGCTTCCACAGAGCCCGCTGCAGACATTGCTGATCAACTAGGACCTTCACTCCTGCTCAATCTGAACTTGGCATCTCATCACCATGTGCCAGTCAGCCACTACCAGTTAATTGTAATTGGCGTTTGGAATGAAATTTACTTGTTATCTTAGAACTAGAACATCAAAGAGCTGTGTACTTGAATCACATTGCTTGGTGCCTCGTAATTCAATCAGGCATCAGTTTTGTTTAACCAGTTTACATTACGGAATGTTTTTTTAAAAAACGTAGTGGTATAAAATTTGATATTGAAGTTATGGTGAGGATGATGTTGAGAATATTCTCCAGTACTTGATCCACAAGAGAAATCTCAGTATTGTGAAGAGCTGTGAGTTTCCTTATCAAATTTGCTTTTTGATTTATGGACATGATGAGTCTTGTAGCTGAATGTTTACTTCTTTGCTTTGTCTACTAGGAAGCTCAGAAACAAATTGGTAACCTCATGTTATGTACTTTTGTGAACTAGCAATACCTCTGTATTATCTTATTTTCCCTACCCTCCTTTTCTCTTTATCTGTTTTTCTTCGTCTGTTTATTTTATCTGAAGGTATCAATCTTTGTAGGATGTTTTTAAACTTTCTTGAATTATTAAGTGCTTAACTACATGAATAAACAGAGTGGTGGCAATGCAAATAGAAAGTACGAGAAAATTCACAAAGAAAGAAAATGCAGGCCTTACTGGCAGGCTCATTTTTAGAATCAAAGATCTTCGGCTTTACTCAGAAAGTGGTGGCACCAACAACAGAAATAAGGAAGGAAGGGGAAAGGGAATTACTTATAAATGATGAGTAAGGTTTTACAGAAGTTGGTTTAGCAGTTAGATATTTAAGTGGAGATTTTTTAGGCCACTGGGAGTACATTCTAGAACTTGAGTCAAAAATCTAGGTTGGTAATGTTGATTTGGGAACTATCAATGTTGAACTAATAGCTGAAGCCAGGAAAGGTAAACACATTCCCCAGTCAGGTGCAGAGAGAGAAAACCAAAGTATAAGAGCTGTGGATAAAGCTAGAATTAGGGGTTTGGAGGAGAAACAGATACCAGTAATAACAAAAAGAAAATTAGTTAAAGGAGAAAGAAAGAATCAAAATAGTAATTGCCACAGAAATTAAGAAAGAACATAATTTCCAAAAGCAACATCAACAGTGTTTAAAAGTGGAAGAAAATGATAAAGTAATCGAGACGAACAAGGAAGGCTGTGGGATGACTGAAGGGAGCACGGCTGCCCTGTGAGTGGTGAGGCGGAAGAACGAGGGCCTGGCCTGAGGAGCCTCCGAACGGCTCTTTGTGGTGTTCGCTAGTTACCAAATCCAACTGCGATGCCGTATCTTTGAATTTGTATTGGCTTGCTTCACAAAGCAAGTATGTCTTTAGTATTCTAATATATTGCAATCTAATAATTGACACGAGAATCATAATGTCTCAGTAGTTATGATCAGATGAGTAGAATCTAGAATCTAAAATCTAATTACCATAAAAATTCTAATGCTGGGCTTAAAAAAATGTGAAAGGAAACAGATGAAAATGTACTTACATAGGACCATGACCACTCATTTCCACCATTAATGAGGTCCATTTCCGCAGCAGGCTTACCTTCTCTATTACGAACTGTGAGCAGGTCTGATTGAACTTGTTTGCCACAGCACTGTATTCTGGGTGGCCAGGTGGCAGCTCCACCACACAGAAATTCTGCTGCTTCATATCACTCCAGTGTGCAGGGATGTCAACTGCAAAGGAGACGTTTTGAGGACTCCCACACACGTTCCCAGTATGCATTGAAAAAGAGGATATCATCTGTGTTCTTGTTTTACAATCTCCTAAGTCTCAGTGTTCAAAAACTTTATCTTTTTAGCAGAATGTTTTTCAGAGTGTAAACAACAGACAACCTACATCAGAACCAACCGAAATGCTTGTTTAAAAAAAAAAGCCACAGATCTACTGAGTCAATCTCTGAGGGGAGGAGCCTGTGTGTCTGCATCTTAAGTTTCGATCCTGCTGAGATTCGAGAACTGTTGGTACAGTGCAACACATCTGCATGTTCTGTTCAGTCTCTAATATGTCATAATTTAACAATAAATTATTTCCCTACCACGTTTTAGTTGCTATTGTTTTGTGTATGCATGGATTTTTGCCAGGACGCCTCACCATCACCACCGCGAGGTACTCCACATCTATTTTTTCATTATTCTTCACAGTGTCCTTACAAGGTGGTTGGGTGGTAGGTTTTGCTATGTGACAGGCTGTGGTGGCAGCTCTGTCTCCTCCTCTGCTAGGAGGAATACCATGCACGATCTGTCATTCCCCCGGGGTTGCTCAGGGTCTGAGGAATGCGTTCACACTGATCTCACAAGAGAGGAATATAGTGTACTGGAAGCCAATTAACTCGTGTTCAATGGGCGACTTACATGGTTTGAAGGTAGGCATGGCTGTCTACATGAGAGTCATTCCCTTCTTGAGGAGGAGATCCCAAGAGAATCCAAAGCTGCTTCCTGTTGTGTCGAGGAAGCTTCTACTCAGAGTAGAGATGACTTCTGGGGGAAGTTCCTACCGACTGCCGATCCTCCCTGGGTTGTCAGCCACAGACACAGGGAAGGCCTACTCTCTGACCAGGCTGTCTTCTCTGTTTCCTCCCCTTCGCCCCTGTGTTCTAGAAACCTTGGGCCTCTTTTCTGTTAGGCCTATGGTTTTCCCTCTCGTGACTGATGTGGCCATGACCTCCCCTGCAGAACTAGCTCTGGGAAGCTTACAAACTGTAGAGATGGAAACAAATGCAAGGTTTGGCTACTGTTACCATTAAGATGGTCATCTTCAGGTTGTTTGCATGTGTCCTTGTGTTTCCCCAGCCATAATGTAAGCTCTTTAAGCTCAGAGACCATATTTTCTAGTTTATTCCATTAGAGTTACTTGAATTTTTTCTATTTGAAATTTTGATGTTTGTACAGAATAGTGTTAAGCTCAAAGTAGGTGTAAAATAATGGATGACAGGCAGGAAAGTTTAACTTACCTTCAGATTTTGTGAGGCGCTGAATAGGTAAACTGTGTCCATTTACATCTGTGGCAGTGAATGTGTCCAAGTTCACTGTGTAGCTCCCATTATTAATTTTGACGACAATTGTTTTTTTCTTTGCTCTCTTTGCATCCTCCAATTGCAGGTTGGTTATTTTGTCAAAACAATGAAATGTGTTACTGTCATTATATTGCCATTCTATAAATTCACTGACACAATCTGCCCGGGACTCCTGTTCTTTGGCCAGTCGAACTCTCTTGATCATTTTCTCAATTTCATCTCTAGCCTGCATCACATCTCTGCTAATTCCCAAAACCTCAATCGAAGATCTCTTACGGTCCAGGGAAATGCTAATATTTAAATTCTTCTGCAGCTCATTCAATTCCTGATATTCCTTTTCATCAAAGTCTTTGATATACTCGTCTTCACTGATGTAAGGTAACTGTTCCTTTTTAATCAGTTCTTGAATCCAGGAGATAGTGTTTTCCACACAGTTTATATTTTCACCACATACCTGAAAAATTACTGATTCTGTTTTCTTTTCCAAAACCAAAGGAGTCTGTTTTTTGGGAGATTTTCTTGAAAAGCCCAAATATGCTAAAAAGAAAAGGAAGATTAGATATTTCCCATGTGACAGCAATGTTAGGAACATGCATTGAATAAAAACAAACAACTCACATGCAAGTTTAGACATCACAGACTGTCGAGGAGAAGGTTGAGACCCTTCTCTTTTCTTCATGTTGGCATGAAACACATCCAGCACGTGAGGCAGAAAGATAACAACTTTAACTTTTTTCACAGACTGTGCTGATCCTTTCTGGATAAAGTCTTCAATCGCGTCAATTATGGCTTCAGCAACCTTATCTGGGTCTTGTTTGGCATTTCCTGGAAAAGCAAACAATAAAAATGACTGAAGAAAATAAAGACCCCACTGGAAAAGGCTCAGGAATAAATTAAGTGCTCAGAGTAAATGCCCACTTCCCAATTCTTTCATCGCTGTGAAATCTTCTAACAATGCATCAGCAAACACTTTTGAGGTCCTACTTGCAATGGGAGTTTCCGTTCCAGGATCTGGAAGCCAACAGCCCAGCAATGAATAAAGGTCCCAGAAACCTAACTTCTGGGTGTCTGATGTCCATATCTGCTGTATTCAGCCTATCCTAGCTCACTGTCTTCTTCCCCCTCCTATTACACAGCACGGGTAACTTTTCTTCTTGGCTCACTAGTGCCCTCAAAAAATCCATATGAAGCAGAAGATGCTAATATATGTTGAAACAACATGCTCTTTAAAGAGAGAAACATTTTTTTTGGCTGAGTCATCACTTGATTTTATGCATGTATCCTTATTCTCTGAGATATCTTTGGGAAACTGATTTAAACTAAGCTAATTTTGTAAGATACCTGGAGCTGTAAGCTATTTGTTATAATCTATAATTCTTTGCACACAAATTATCCATGAGCTTCCAGGAAGTCTTTCCTCCCACATTCAGCGAGATTTTAGCTGACCAGCAGGGTTCCAGGCAGCCACCCTGAGCAGATCCTTTTGTATTTTCAGCATACTCCATACCCTTTTTCTTAAGCCATGAAAGCCACTGCCTAAGTGAGATCACAAAAAGTCCCCTTTGGCCATGGAAACGATCCCATATGAATGGCAGCTGGCAAAGTCACACGACGGGCAATGTAAAAGTCCCCTGGCCATACTGGTAAGGGCACACTTGGATGATACCACCACTATTGTAGAAAAGAAGTAGACCTCTGACTTGGCTAGGTAGACAATTGTAGGAATGTAGACAAACCCCATATAAAATTAACCAAGAGGATTTGTTCAGTTTTTTTATTAGATGATCAGGGAAAGAGGAAAGTTCTCCTTTGCAAAACTGTGGTTCTCCCATGGTAGTTGGAAGAGTACAGCTTTAATAAACTTAACCATTCTTGTCACTCTCTGGGCATTCTTCTGATCCTTTGACCCGTATCTTGCTTTCTGTAATTCTATACCATTCCAGGATGGTTAAGTTTATTTATTTATTTATTTATTTATTTATTTATTTTTATTTTTTTTTTTTTTTTTTGAGACAGAGTCTCACTTTGTTGCCCCGGCTAGAGTGAGTGCCATGGCGTCAGCCTAGCTCACAGCAACCTCAGACTCCTGGGCTCAAGCAATCCTACTGCCTCAGCCTCCCAAGTAGCTGGGACTACAGGCATGCGCCACCATGCCTGGCTAATTTTTTTTTTTCTATATATTTTTAGCTGTCCAATTTATTTCTTTCTATTTTTGGTAGAGACGGGGTCTCGCTCTTGCTCAGGCTGGTCTCGAACTCCTGAGCTCAAACAATCCGCCCGCCTCGGCCTCCCAGAGAGCTAGGATTACAGGCGTGAGCCACCACGCCCGGCCTGGTTAAGTTTATTGAGGCTAAATTTCAGGAGAGCCTAGAATGTCAGTCTAAGACATTTAATCTAGATTCCTGAACAACAGAATGACGGATCCAATGCTGAGTGTTTTCCCACGGGGACCAGGAAGCTCCATTCACTTCAGGCCTAAGAGTGCACGCCTTCTCTGGCCAGCTCTCTAAAGGAAGACCGAGCAGGAATTCGTCATCAACGCACATGACTCTGATTCCTGGGGAAACAGCTCAAAGAGCATCACCTAACTCAAGAATAACCCAAAGCACCGTCCTTATATATGAAGAATCGCTCAATCACGACAGTTTGAAGAAAACGAGAAACTCAAAGAGGCAAGTAGGCTCAAAAGAGGAAAGTGGAGAGTTGAGTTTATGAAGCACTAGGATCTGGTGACTGGGAAACTGACACATAGAGACGCCCTTATGCCCACGGACACACTGGCTGCTGAGCTGCAGGCCGCAAATGCACACCTGGGAGTCAGCAAGGGTGAGGTGGAAGTTGACGCACTAACATCCTCCATGGAGATGGGACAGCAGAGAAAGTTAAGGACTAAATAATGTAGACTGTGCAGGGAAGCGAAAATAGAGGAAGAAACTGATGACAGAGAATGAGGGATGGCCTTTCTTTTCATTCTCTCCCTTCCCTTCTTTCTGACTCTCTAAAATCCCCACACTCTCTTCAGTTTTCTTCAGTTTTTTCTCTTTTACTTAAACAGTCCACAGGCTTTGCTCCTTCCCTCGGGGGCTGCCTTGGGGTGAGGAAGCTGTCCCCTCCTGGATTAACTGTCGCCGCCTGGCTCAGACTCGGCACTGACCGCGACCACACTCAGCACCAAACCTAAGGGAAAGTGGACGCCTCAGGATTTAGCCTTGACAGCCAGAGGCCACAAACCTGTCCCAATGGCTGGGAGGCAAATGGATGAGTAATTCCGTTTTTCACACTCCTGCAAAACACAGGACACCGATCTCTTGACATCACTTCCACCAACAACATGAATGATTTTCTTGCACCTCAGTAATCCACCTTCAGTAATTATATAATCATTCTTGCCCTGTTGAGCTGGGAAACAGACCAAAAAATTGCAAAATTAGATGTTGAACCCACCCTTTGTTTAGAAAGGAAAATGGCTGATTTGGCAAGTAAGGAATTTATGAATAAAAAATTCCTGAAATACTATCTTTGATGAAAGTGTATGGCTTAAATTCTCTCTTTAACTGTGAGATCACTTCTCACGTCTAATTCTCTGTGATCGGGATTCTTTAGTAAAATGTATGGTTTTTAAAAGTTATGTGTTGTCACCCTAGTCCCAAGACTTTCCTCAGACTCTCCACAGCCTCCCGTCCAGTTACAGTTTTGGGCAAAAAATAGCACTATACCTTACCTTGAAGAGAACATTCCATTTCCACACTTTGTCCAGCACTTTCTAAAATTGCTTTGGAGACCCCTACATGAGAAAATCAAGATGATAACAAACATGAATAAAAAATCACTATGGTACATTTGGATCAGAAAGATTTCCTCATTTAAGTCGGTTCTCCCTCATCAAAGGAATCCAATAACCTGGGTATTGCTGATGACAAAGAAGAAAAATTCATAAAATAACTGTTACTAATTAAGAAAAACCCTGCCAAAATAATTTAAATGGCTGGGTGCGGTGGCTCATGCCTGTAATCCCAGCACTTTGGGAGGCTAAGGCGGGAGGACTGTGTGAGGCCAGGAGTTTGAGACCAGCCTGGGCAACATAGCAAGACCCTGTCTCTACAAAATATTTTTTAAAAATTAGCTAGACATGGTGATGCATACATGTAGTCCCAGCTACTGGGGAGGCTGAGTTAGGAGGATTTCTTGAGCCCAGGAGTTTGAGGTTGCAGGGAGCTATGATGATACCACTGCATTCTAGCCTGGGTGACAGAGTGAGACCCTGTCTCAAAAAAAATTTTAATTAATATTAACAAGCCAAGGATATAAAAACCAGTTTGGCTATAGAAAACTTCCTTTCACGGCATCTACTGTTAACTATTACACTCATCAAAATCGTACAAGTACCTGCTTTGAGATTAAATGTTTTTGATGTTGAATTTACGATCACATCTGCCTCCTCCTTGGTGATGTCTCCAGAAGCCACCTGGAAGATGATGGGGCCAATCTTCATTTCATGCACTTCTAAACTGGGGCTAGAAACAGTTCCATAAAGACCTGAAAAGAAAACAAGTGGAGTCAATAACCAAGCCAGCAACAGAAAGAATGATTTGGGTCTGACGCTCTTCCCATGTGCCCTCTCATATGTCTTCCCTCTCTCTGTGACCTCTAGCCTAATATGGCCCTGACCCTGAGCCCCAGTGATGGTCTGATGCTGAAAAAGAATTAGAAAATACAATACATGTCAAACATGGACTCTGGTGCTGGCCAAGGTGAAGTTAGCCCACTAAAGTCTCTCTCCCCCATTGATTACAACAAAAACTCAGGACAGATACAAAAAGCCACTACCTGGGAACTCTGAAAAGTAACAATGGCAGCAGGCAGATTGAGGAAGGGAGCCAAAACTTGCAGAAGCAACCTGTCTGGGGTGGGGGGCATTTCTCATTTTGTTCTGTTTTAAAATTTTTCCTCTTTTCTCTCCTAGTTTTGACCCAAGGGTGGCCCTAGTTACAGAACTGCACAGTGGAAGCAGGCAGCAAAACTCTCAGAGAATTCCTATCTTTGTGGCCAGAGCTTTGGGAAAAGTGTCCCTGTGAGCTGAATAGTATGGGAGGGAATCCTCATTCCCCCCACCCCCTGCCACCTTTTCTTTTTTCCTAGATTGGATCTCTTTCTGTTGTCCAGGCTAGGGTGCAGTGGTGTCATCACAGCTCACTGCAAACTCGAACTCCTGGGCTCAAGCGATCCTCCCACCTTGGCTTCCCAAAGTGCTAGGATTATAGGTGTGAGTTACCGAGTTTGGACTTTCTTCTTTTTTAATCCAGGCCCTTGCCCAAGATGATCTCAGTTGCAGAACTCTACACTGACACCACAGGGAGCTCAAACTCTGAGAGACATCCTGTATTTCTGGCCAGAATAATCAGGGATAAGTGCCTCTGTGGTCTGAAAAGTGGATGTGTGTGTGTGTTATTTTTTTTTTTTTTTCTCACTTTCTTTTCTCTTTCCACTTTGCCCAAGGGCAACCCTGGCGATGCAAAACTATGGGGCAAGACAACAGGCAGCGTAAACTCTGAGGGAACCCTGTCTTTCTGGCCAGAGCACCTGGAAAATGCAAGCCAGAGAGTGGGAGAGGAATCCTAGAAAGGTGACAGCTGGAGACAGGGATCCCCTAATCCTGTATGTGAACTGAGCTCACTCCAGAGCTGCTCATGAGTGGAGCAGACCCAAAGCAGCATAGGAAAGGCTTTGAGAACAGAACTGATACTGGAGCCACTGCCTGAAGAGGTGAGACAGAACTTACAGAATGAACCTAATGGACTGCCTGGCTGCTCAACAATTAAACAAGCAATCACCATTCTCCAGAGGATTTTAACAAGACCCAAGTCTCACAACATACTATTTAAAATGTCTAGCCTATATCCAAAATTGCCTGTCATGCAAAGAACCAGGAAAATATGGCCAACTCTCTCAAGGACAAAGACAATCAGCAGATGCCAATCCCAAAGTGATCCAGATGTTGAAATTATCAAAGACTTTAAAGGTACCTACTATACCTATGATCCATGAGATCAAAGTAAACAATGTTTGAATGAATGGAAATGGTGTGGAATGAATGGAAAAATAGGAGCAGAAAAATAGGAACTATTTTACAGAGAACCAAATGGACATTTTAGAACTTAAAAACACAGTATCTAAAGTAAAAATTCACTGGATGGACTCAATAACATAGCGGACAGAGAGAAGACTCAGCGAACTTGAAAGCAGATCAATATAAATTATCCGATCTGAAGAACAGAGAGGAAAAAGATTGGGGGTGGGAAGAACAGCTCCTCACAGACCTGTGAGACACTATCGAAAGGCTTAATATTCACGTTATTGGAATATCAGAAGGAGACATGAAAGAGACCAGTGAAGACAAAAATATTTAAAGAAATAATAACTTCAAAATTTCCAAATTTGTGC